CTGCCTGTCAATAGGTCTGAGTACAAAGGTAGTTTAAAAAAAAAAAGATTGCATTGGATGGGGAGGGAAAGACTAATAAAATACAGGAGGCCGGACACAGGTGGCTCATGCCTGTAATCCTAGCTAATCAGAAAGCTGAGATCCGACAATTGAGGTTCAAAGCCAATCAGGGCATGAAAAGTCCGTGAGACTCTTATCTCCAATAAACCACTAGAAAAACGGAAGTGGAGCTGTGGCTCAAGCGGTAGAGAGCTTGCCTTGAGCTGAAGAGCGCAAGTCCCACGACTAAGAAAAAAGGAAGAATATACAGGAAATATGTAAAGGGACCAGCTTGGAACAAGTTCTCAAACTGTGATCAACAGACTCAAAGCTTAACCACCTGGAAATTGGATGTAAAAATAAAATCCTGGCACCCAAGATCATCTGAATTCAAAACTGGGGATAGAGGAAGAGGGAAGACCAGTGTGTTTCAACAAATCTACCAACTGATTCTGATACATACTAAAATTTCAGAACCTGAGATCTGGAGGAAGAGAACTTTACCCACTCATGTAGATGGATAGTGTGATAGGTGTAAAGATGTTAATTCCTCACTTTCTGTTTTTTTGATGTAAAGTAGTATCTCCTATCAACAATGTGATCTCCTGTCCTTCCCCCTAGAGTGTGCTTTACCTGAGGATTTTGCTGTAGACAAAAGAATGTGGAAGGGTATTGTCATTTGTCAGCCAAGCTCAAGAGATCATGCATACTTTTTTTCTCCTCCACTACCTCATCTTAACCTCTCCACCTGTATCTTTGTATGCTTCTAATTCCTTTGCTGTTTTGTCTCTCCTATCCATTACTAATTTACTTATTGTGCCCTGGATCATGTCTCCCATCTAGCTTTGCCTCTTAATTATTGGTTGTTTTCTTGGGCTGGTCCTGGAGCTTGAACTCAGAGCCTAGGCTTTGTCCATGAGCCTCTCTGCGCTTAAGGCTAGTGCTCTACTACTTGAGGTCACAACGCCACTTCCAGCTTTTTCTGCTTATGTGCTACTGAGCAATCAAACCCAGGGCTTCATACATGCTGCACACTCAATCACTAAGTCACTTTCCCAGCCCTACCCTCCTTTACTTTCTACATTTCCTGATCCAAAAGTTCCTAAAACCAACCCTCCTTTGCCTCCACGCGTATCTAGTTCGAACTCAATTCTTTCCTAGTCAAGTCTCTAAGAAAATATACTTTTCCTCACCACTTTTACCTTCTCTCCTCTGCAATTTTCCTATAAAATGAATTTGCTCTACACTACTGAATTTGCTTACCACTGTCTTCCTCAGATGAGAAGGTGGATGATTTAATAATGTAAACAGCCTCCTTATTCCTAATCCCTTTTATTACCTCTAAGGTTATTTCTTCACACACACACACAAATCTAATGATTTAGAATCTTTTTTCTATAGAATCAAGTGAAATTTCCATGACATCCCATAACTTATCCATAATTTCATATCCTCTTATACTTTATACTGCGGTAACTCTCAAATCTTGTACTGTCCCAAATGTATCACATCGTCATAGATTTGTGCTCTTGCAGACTATTCCTTTTCACAGATTTGTGCTCTTGCAGACTATTCCTTTTGTGGCAGTATCAAATCGCTCCTAGACACAAATGGTTCAGAAAAACTATATAGACCAAAATAATGCAGATGTGACAAACTGCTAAAACTTTGAGGGCAGATGGGAAATTTCTGTAATACAATTACAATTTTTTCCATAAGCTTCCAAGACCAACTAGGAGCAAAAAAACTTAACAAAAGTGCTTTAAGCTTGTTTACATGGGTATGTTAGAATAAGACTGTATATCCAGCCAAAGGGGAAAAATTACAAGAGCAAAAAATAGACTTGTCTAGAATAAGCCAGTCACTAGACAAAGTACTTCCACTAGGAATGAAGATCTTAGTCAGAGATCACAGAGTTGATATAACTACTATTTATCAAATACTCGGAACCAAGCTCAGAATTGTTTAGCTTTCCATGTACATATTACCAAAAGTGTATGCACTGAGCATGAGCATGTTCATAAAACTTGTTCTGTAATATCTCCATTATCAATGAAATTTAACCAGTTAACTTTTCAGTTATATCTAGGTATAATAAGTGAGCTTAAAGTTAGAAATAAATTCACACGTTGAGTAGATACCAAGTTTTGATACAGTGAAGTTGTCTCTTCCTCTGCTTCTCACTCCCATTAGTAGGGAACACTGGAGCTAAAGATAGCCCAAACTTGTAAGGTTCCCAAGACGTCTGGAAAAATCTCAGAAACATGTTCTAAAAGACTGTGACCAACCATACTGGCAGTGATGCAAACTATTAACTTTCATGAAAAGAACGGCCAATTAGGGCTGGGATGGTGGCTCAGTGGTAGAGTGCTTGCCTTGCATGCCTGAGGCCCTGGGTTCGATTCCTCAACACCACATAAGCAAAAAGAAAAAAGCCGGAAGTGGCGCTGTGGCTCAAGTGGTAGAGCGCTAGCCTTGAGCTGAAGAGTTGAGGGACAGCGCCCAGGCCTAGAGTTCAGGCCCCACGACCGGACCCAAAAAAAAAAACAAAAACCGCCAATTAGAACTGTCTACTTGCCTTGCATATGGCCCGTTTCAGCCATCACCACTACAGACTGGATGGCTGGTGTAACTCCCACACTTGGCTAGCCTGGTGAGCTGAATGTCAGAGTAGGAAATAAAATAGTAAGTTGTGGGGTTGCAAACCCAAGGATGATTAATAAGCGAGCATGAAAGTATTAGTTTCCCTTATACAAATCAAAATCACAAAGATTTGAGCAGCTCAGGTAAACCATGGACACTGAACTTGGGTGAACACATTAATAGGCCATTAAGTGTTTTCCTTTCTTTTGTGAGGGGAAAAAAACTCCAAAAACAAGGTCAGAAAAAAATAGTGGGGGACTACAAGGTGAAAGGTGAAGGGAAAAGGGACAAAGGGGGAGAATGGAACATGAAAATGATCAGTGTGCATACACAGTGAATGAAACATTACTAGCCAATTTAAAAATATCTACTCATGTAGTTTTAAGCACATGTAATGTGCAATAGTATAAGGATACGGGAATGTACGACAATGTAACTCACAGAATTTTCAGACTACTGAAAAGACATTTTGAAATCATTTACAGCACACTGAAAGTTCAATGTTCAAATGCTCAAAAATCATTAGGTGAAGTAATGGAGGGACAGTTTGAGAGTATAGCCAGAATGTTCGGTTCCCAGAAGGAAAATGTCATAGAGAAAGGATGTAAGGAAGGAGTGGTACCTGCAGAGACCACCCAAAGCCGATTGCTACAGCCAGAGTACAAAACTGTGAGAGAAGTGTTAAAAGATGGATGGGACCTCATTAGGCACAGATTTTTAGGGCACTACTACACTACTGCAATTTTTTGTCTTTAATACCCTAAAGATAATGGTAAACTACTAAAGGATTTTAAGTACAGACATGAAAGAAAACTTTTTGGGTTTTTTGGTAGGACTAGGATATGAACTCAAGACCTTGATCTTGTGAGGCTGGAGCTTTACCATCTTGAGACCAGCTTTTTGCTGGTTATTTTAGAAATGCAGTCTCAAGGATTTTTCTGCTGACTGGCTTTAAACTGTGACCCTTTGGATCCCAATCTCCTGAGCAGTCAGGAATTAGCTACCAACACCCAGCCTGAAGACAATTCTTAAAAGATCCTCTACATGCTGACTCAAAGATGAGCCAAAAGCAAGTGTGGAAACTGTACAGATGAAAGCAGACCGGTTACAAAGTAAAAGTAAGTGAGAAAGCTTGGCTGCCCAGCAGAAAACACAGAAATACTGGAAGAGAGACTTGGTGACTAGATGAAGAATATGAAAGAGCAGGAATGAAAGACAGGTACTTTTGCTAGAATTACAAAACGTTTTCATATTTTCCAAGTTTATTCCTTGATTTAACTAACTCTACAGTCCTTCCATGAATTCTCAAGATTGAACTTACTAAAAGTTGTTACCATCAATTTTAGATTGTCATTTAAAAACATTTTATAAGGCTGGGAAGGTGGCTCAGTGGTAGAGCGCATGCCTTGCATGCATGAGGCCCTGGGTTCAATTCCTCAGCACCACATAAGCAAAAAGAAAAAAGCAGGAAGTGGTGCTGTGGCTCAAGTGGTAGAGCGCTAGCCTTGAGCTGAAGAGCTGAGGGACAGCGCCCAGGCCCAGAGTTCAGGCCCATGACCGGACCCAAGGAAAAAAAAATTTTTTACAAAAAACAAATTCAACATGATCTACAATGCTTGCTTCCCTCTCTGCCCTTTGGCTAACCTGATTTTCAGTTTCTTACAGAACATGTCAGGTTTCCCATCTGCCTTTTGATTTTTGCACATATTTTCCTTCATTAACCCCAAATACTCCTAATCTGTACTGAATTCCACTTGAGATTACATCTCTACTATATAATCTCATAAAGAAATTAGACTCTCTTCAGAAAACTTACTAGTTTACAATATTTACTTAAATATTGTGTATAATAGTTCTTGTTGACTAACAACCTGTAAAATCCAAGTTTATTTATCTGCTTTGATCTGTACTAAAACATAATCCAGAAATGCTACACTGTAGGAAATCCCAGTTTCTACTGAATAAATGTACACAGTAGCAAAGCAAATTGAAAGCTGAATTTAGTTATCACTCAAGTTATTATTCACTGCAGTCCTGCATTAGAAGAGATAGCAATTTTATCTTCTCTAAAACAGGATTAAAGTAAGTTACTCTGGATAAAAGAACAAGGCCTCTTTGTTTTTAGGGAAGCTAACTGCACCAAACTACATTTTGCTGGAGAGAGAAAGTAAGCAAGCTATTCCATTCCTCAAGGTCTGAAGGCATTTGAAATAATCAACAAAACCAAGAGACACTTGTAAATGCTGACCACCTATTTTCAAGATTCTTGGCTCCAGGAAGATTGTTTAAAAAACAATATTACACAGGAAAAACTTGAATTCTTGCTTTAAAGTGTTACTACTTTATTTTTTCTTTTTGAACACATTTATTATGTTACTGACAGTTCAGAAAGACAAGTATATAAATATTAAGTTTTTTCTTTTGGCAGAAGTCAAGATAAACTGTGCACACTAAAATGCCCAATTTAGCCTGAAGAAATGAATCTGAACCATACAAACCTTAAGAAAAATAAAAGACTGTCCAAAGGCATTTGCCTAGCTTTTAACACATTTCCAGAATAACTCTCAAAAACAAAATCAAAAATACTCATTGACTACCTTAAAAATATGTCAATACCATATGGCTTTATGAAATAACTTTTAAAATTTACATTTTTTTATTTAAAAAGGATCCCAAGTTTTAAATAAACTGCTAGCAGTATCATTTTCTTCACTTAAAAGTGCTTAACTCTGAGCGTAGGACATACATACTTTTTGAACAAATAATTTTTACAAACGAACACAAAATAAAAATCACTTAAAACATTTTTAAGGAGGAAAAGAACTTTTACCAAAAGTCATCTTTAAATAAACTGCAGTAGATGACATGTTCTTTTTTTCTTTTTCATTTTATACCATCAAGATTCTCAATGAGATGCTTTGGCAGGTTTAAGATACATCACAGTCTCTACCAAGAGACACTGACATTAATGATGTCCTTGGAGATGGCAATTGCCTGGATGGCTCAGTATGAATAGAAACATTAATGGGCTGGTTTTCCAAATCAGAGGCAAAGATGCTCTCTTCTCTTACATCAAGAGTCTGTTCAACTTCAGCTGCTGCCTGGGGTGGAATATTATTCACAGTTCTGCTGGCATTATTCAAGTTGTCAGTAAGTGTACTAACATCACACTCCTTGTCAAGGACAGTAAATTCATCTTCTATTGTGACTACATCTTTATTAGTTTCAAACGATTCCAAGGAAGAAGCCAAATACTCACTTTGCAGAGCCTCTGGAGGAACACCATTGTCACATTCCGTGTTTGCCTTTACTTCCGAATCCTTGTCACTGTCACTATCAATGGTAATAACAACTGGGGACCGAGTATTATCTCCATGATGTTTTTTGTGCTTTTTCTTGTGTTTCTTCTTTTTCTTCTTATGGTGTTTAGCTATATCAGTAGCTTTCCCTTCATAAACTATTTCTACACTTAGGCTACGGGCCCTCCTTTTCCTCCTCCTGTGTTTTGTCTCTCTGTCTGATGATCGTCCATCTGACAAGCTGTCACTCTCATTTTTGTAGTTTCCATCCAATTTTGATGGTTTTTGGTAATGACTGTCCTTTACTTTAGGAGTGAACTCATGAGTTTGTTGAGCCACCTCATTAGTACTCTCCAAATGCCGGGTTTTGTATTTTCGCTTCCCTCCAGGCTTTTCATTTCTCACCCGGTCAGGTCCTGTAGATGCAGTCCTTGACCTATTACTAGACAGGCTCCTTGATCTGTGCCTTTCATAATAATAATATTTCCGCTCACTGTGATTATTTTTTTTCCGAGCATTTGTTCTTTCAGAAAAGGACTGAATTCTGAACTCTGGACTTGAAGACTGTCTAGAATAATGGGCTCTGGACAGAGTCCTCCTCCGGTAAGATGACTCATAACCATCCCTGTCCTTGTTTCTACTATAATAAGTATATTCCCACTTATATCTGCTTCCATAGTTATTTCTTAAATAGTAACGGTCCCTGGTTCTGCTCCGTGATCTTCTCTTGCCATGATCACTGCTACGAGACCGTGATCTGCTTGTGCTTTCACTACTTAGAGAAAGAGTTTGGCTTCTTCTTGACCAGCTGCTATCTCTAGTTCTCGAACTCTTCTTATCTCGTCTCCCTCTTGGTCTGCTACTACTCTCCCTGCTCCTGGACCGTTTGCTCTTCATCCTTTTCTTCCCATGGTGCTTCCTGTGATTCCGCTGATCATGCCCACTTCTACTCTGGGAACGTGAATCTGAACTTCTAGATCTTCCCCTCTTCCTGTGTCTATGGTTAGATGGGGAGCATCCTCGGTCTTCTCTCATAGATGAACTCAGATCTCTGGAAGATGACAATGATGTAGATCGCTTCCCTTCCTTCTTTGATTTCATTCTTGTACCAGAATCATGATGAACTTTATTCATTTGCTCATCCTTTCCAAGTACAGATCGTGGAGTTGAACATCTACTAACATCACTATCACCAGAACTAGAAGACTGCTCTTGTTCTTGTGACTTCACTGTCTCCATTTTGTCATAGGAGCCCAACTCCTCAGAATCAGAGGATAGTTCAACCAGTTCTGGGGTTCTCTCAGCTAATGGCTTAACAAAGCCAACAATGACACAGTTCTCTGAAGATGAATCACTGTCATTATGTAGATCCTCACTGGTTTGTACACCTTGATTCTGAGAAGTGGCTCCTCCTGTAACAAGTTCTTCATCTGAACTATCAGAAGTATTTAAGAGAGAAGACATGGCTACATGTACCTGCTCTGAGCTTGAGTAAGATGGTCCTGGAGTTTCATCATCCCATGGTGCCTGACTGACAGTGGCTACATTAATATCTAACTCCTGGGTCTCAGTTTCATCCGGAGATATTGTTATGACTGAAGAATCAGAATGGCTGCCTTCTTCATATGAAGGAGCAGGGCAGTCATAATTAGCATGCTGGTCAAAGGCAGCCATGTTAAAAGGAGATCTAGCAAAACTGATAAACTCATGTATAAAATGCTCAGTCCGATTCAGTAAAAATGGTCTTAAATCAGAAACAAATGCCTGACTTTCCAAGTCATAGCGAGTAACATTACTCATAATGATGTGCTGGACAATATTGACTAATGATCCATGAGCTCCAAAAAGAACTGTAAGTTCACGTTTTAGCCAAGGGACTAATCTGTGAAGGCAAGCTGGATTCCTACGGAAAAATTCAGCTGAAATATCCCTGTAACGACCACCATCTTCAATATTTCTAACTCGAGCACCAGCACGATAGAGGGTTCGTCTAAAATTAATAATATCTTGCTCTTGAATTTTCCGTAAAGTTCTATCATCTGCAGCAGATGGTCCCCTTATTGTAATCTGTCTCATAATTGGAGGAATTTCAACATCTCTAGACCTTGAGATGCCTAACCCTTCAAACAGCACTCCACTATCTGGTGGAGTTGTTGTTCTTCTATTTACAGTAGTAGTAGGTGAATAGATGGAACTACTTCGTTCCCGTGTCATAGTGGTACGGTAGCGAAATCGTCGATCAGGAGTGGCAAAAGAACCATTATAAGAAGGTCTCAGGACATACTCCTTGAAGTCATCTTCTGCCCTCACAGAATGAAATATAGAGTCAAAGGGCTGTTTACACAGTGGACATTCAGCTTTGTTTTTTGACCATTCCTGTACACAGCGAAAACAGAACTTATGCAAGCAGCGATCTAAGTAAGACACATTATCAAATCTGTCCAAGCATATAGGACATTTTGAATCTGGAGATGCATCAGCTGGTACTGCCTGCTGCAATTTGCTAGTGCCAGCTTTAGGTGAAAAGTTGTCCATCTTAAATTCCTTAGCTGCTGATGCCATTATCTGTAAAAAGGAAAGAAATATATCAGTAAACTGATGAAAGAGTAACTAAAAAAGCCATTAGAAAAGGCCACTGTTATATACACAGTAAAGTCAAATATTAATATTTTGCTGTCCTTTTTAAAAGTTTGAGAAAAATGTAAAAGAAATGTTAGCTGTGGTTATTAGTATAATATTACTATTATCACACGACTATTGCCACATTATTATATTCAGTTCATTATACTGATTCCTTTCTAAGTATTTTCACGCTTGTCTTTGCTTTATTTTTATTTTTTGGCAGTAGGAACTGAAGACTTGCTAGGCAGTCCTGTGTCCATTAAACTCATAGTTGCTATGCAGCCACTGTATCACTCACCAGAGCCATACCTCCAGGCCAGGACATCTTAAGCTTTTTAATTTAATGCAAAGCAGAGCCGTGAAGATGTTAAAGCTCATCTGTTTCATCTATTAGCTTATATTAGCTCATTATAAAGTTGAATTTGCTAATGTTAATATCTGCATTATATTTTGGCCTTGTTATTTACAACCTCTCCACAACTCCCAATCTCCCGTTTGCTAGATTTTGTCCTAATCATTGGGTATATAGTTGATCTCAGTCCCCACCTCCCCCAAATCAAATGGAGGCTGAACTCAGAGGCGTTCACTCAGCCCTCTTACTCAAAACTGACACTTCTAGCATTTGAACCATATTATCAAGCCTGGCTGTTTGCTGGCTATTTGGGGAACTTCAGGACTTTTCTGCCCAAGATGGCTTTGAACCACAATCCTCCAAATCTTAGCTTCCAGAATAGCTAGGATTCAGGGGTGAACCACTAGCACCTGGCTAAAAGTTTCCAGTTCACATATAAACTGCAACTTAGGGCTAAGGGTTTGGGTTATAATCTAATAACCTAGCCCAGTGGTTGAGACTTGCCTTACATGAGCTTTTCTTTCATTTCCTCCATTATAGGAAGTTCTATAAGTCAAATGTTAAGTAATAACTGTAATTTTCTAAATTATAAACTCATTGGCCTTAACCTATATGAAAAACAAAACCCATAACAAAAGCCTGTATTTGTGAAACACAAGTACCCTATCATAGGTTTTTCAAATTAAAGTCACTAATCAAGGACACACACCTTGGCTTTCTCAGACCCTAATTATTAAAGAGAGAATCAATAGTAAAGAAACATCTTAAAGATCTATTTCTAGTATTATCTTTTCTGGACTGAAAAATTCAAACTTTACTACTTTAAATATTTAACAAGCCTTGGAAATCTGAATTATTAACTCTATTTTCTTTGCATTTTTGTTTTTATGGTCCGAGGGATTTGAACCCAGTAAGTTGGCAAATGCTGTTACTGAGCTACATTTCCAGCCTTTGTCAATATATAAATTTCTCGATGTTCTCCTCTACTTATAATGCTCAATTCAAAAGAGATTAAAGATTAAAAGTCAAAAACTTACAGGATCACAGATACTATGTACAAAAAAAAAGAAATGGGGAACAGTGAAAGAAATCAAGAAAGTTCAAGACTTAGATTCACCTACAACTAGCACTGTATACCAAAGGAATGCACACTAACTCTAGACTTTAAAGAAGGGATAGCTAGACTTTAGTCAGGGAGGGGACTTGTAAATTCCAAGTTAATACATCTTAATTTGTTTCTTTAGAATGCAATTTTTAGTGTTTACTATTTCTACTTATATAAAAATTACAAGGTAGGGCACAGTGCTGAGAACTTAGCTCAGTAGTAGTGCACTTGTCTAGCCTAGGCAAAACTCAGGATCTATACCCAGCACTATAAAAAGAAAAAGAATACATATATATTTGTATTTGTGTGTATACATATATATTAAACTATGAAATACCAAGTTTTTTCTTTCCTGTTTTATGTCTACTAACCAGTTTGAAGGGATAAGCTAATGACTGACCTAATTTTGTCCTCAAAACAGGTAAAAAGAACAAGAATTCTTACACTTATACACAAGAATACATTTAACTACAAAAACTGGTACCGATTAGAAACAATTCAGCCAGGCACCGGCAACTCATGCCTGTCATCTTAGCTACTCAGGAAGCTGAGATCTGAGAATCACAGTTCAAAGTCAGACCAGGTAGGAAAGTCTTTTAGAGTCATCTCCAAGTAACCACCAGAAACCTTAAAGTGGCCCTATGGTTCAATTTGACAGAGCAACCAGCCTTAAGCAAAAGACCTTATTAGGGACAGTACCTAGGTCCTGAGTTCAAGCCCCCCAGTGGACAAAAAAATCCATTATCAAGTAAAGGATTATCTTCTAAAGATTGTTTTCTGATAAATGTGTATTCATACATAAAACTGAATTACTTGATATATACTACAACATAGAAGTCCATTTATTGACGTAAATGAGAAAATATTAGTTACAAAGATTACTTATTGCATGATATCATTTAATAAATATGTAAAATAGGCAAATTTATAAAGATGGAAAGTGAACTGGTGCTAGTAATGAAGTTTCCTTCTAGGAAGATGAAAATGTTCTGCAATCGAATTATGGTGATGGCATCACTCAGGAAACATACCAAAAACTAATTAGCCAGGCACAGGTGGTTCACAGCTGTAATCCTGGGTACTCAGGAGGCTGAGATCTGTGGATCACTGTTCAAAGCCAGCCCAGGCAGGAAACTCTGTGCGACTCTTATCTACAATAAACCACTAAAAAACCGGAAGTGGTGCTGTGGCTCAAGCAGTAGAGCACTCGCCTTGAGCTGAAGAGTACAGGGAAAGCACCCAGGCCCAGAGTTCAAGCTCTACGACTGACCAAAAAACAAACAAAAAAAAAAACCCTATTGAATTATATAACATTAAACAAGTGAAATGTATAGCTGGTATGTAAATTATACCTCAACAGAGCAGTTAAAAAAAATACAGATTAAGGCATAAAATCAGGAAAGCCAGTAAGTTAAGATTGGCAGATTTGCAGGAATGATTTTGAAATTTAGGTTACAAAGGTGGACCTGTTTACATTTAGTGCTACCGAGTCTATTTAAGAGCCCTTATAAGCCCTTATAAAAGTTTTTCTAGGGCTGGGAAGGTGGCTCAGTGGTAGAGTGCTTGGCTTGCATGCATGAGACCCTGGGTTCGATTCCTCAGCACCACATAAGCAGAAAAAGGCAGAAGTAGAGCTATGGCTCAAGTGGTAGAGCACTAGCCTTGAGCTGAAGAGGTGAGGGACAGTGCCCAGGCCCAGAGTTCAGGCCCCATGACTGGCCAAAAGAAAAAAAAGCTTTTCTAACCAAGTATTCTTGGGATTAGTACCACAATTTACTATTATCCACCCTCCCCCCATGGGAGAAATGATCCATCAATCCCACTTCCCAAATCCAAAATAAAGTTTACCTAAAAATTTAGGACACACTAAACCTAACCTTTCCTTTCTCAAATCTTCAAATCTGTTGTTTCTAACACAGATTGGAACCCTTCATGCCACAATGTGCAGGAACTGGAGATAATCAACAGGAACACATAGAAGTTGAAAGGTATAGAGGGTCAGAAGACTGAGTCTATGTGAAAATAAAATATTTAGTAGTGCTCATCACCCAGAAGTGGCAAATGTCTAGAGAGGCTAATGAATAATAACAAATAATCATACTTAATATAACTATTGGACTATCTAGGCAAAGTGGTTAATAAAAGTTCACAGTGGATAAACTAGAAAGCCATTCTACATGTTAAAACCAATTTGAGTCCTACATTTTGTTACCTTAAAGAAAAATCCCCATTTCCAAAAACCTGGGGAGGAACAGCGAAGGATACAACTGTTAACTGTTGTATTGACCAGATTTGACCATTACCAAGTTTAATTTCAACTCCAGGCATAAAAAGAAATGCTTGAGCTGGACACTCAGTAGCCGGCTACTTCTAGGTACTCTGGAGGCTGACACCAGAAGGAAAATTCCAAGAGACTTCACGCTCCAAGTATCCAGCAAAATGCCAAACTGTAGGCATAGTTCACGTGACAGAGGGTCTGAGGTGAGCAAAAAAGCCTAATGCCTACAGTTCAAGCTCCAGTACTCGCACAAGAAAAAAAACTGTGACAACTTGCGCCCCTCATTCAAAATAAGCATGACTTACTGTGGCCTAAAGAAATCTGCACATCATACACGGAAAGATAAATTGTAGAGCCGTTCCCACCTTGATCTCATCTCAGCTCTGCCCTAGTCCTGCTATGCAGTCAGGAGACCGCGGGCAGAGCCGCACTGACTGGCAGCGGGCTGAGCAGGTCGAGCGTGCAGCCGTCTCAGGGATGGCTTTTTCCTGGGCCTTCAGAACCGCAGCCGCTCGGCGTTACATAACCGCCGTTCCCATTCTACGGACCGGAGCCGCGGCGCGGGCGCTGGCGAGGTCACGCTCCTCCTCGCCAGCGGCGGTGCCGCGGTTCACAGCGGGCCGCCGTGCTCCGGGCCGGCG